TTTTTAACAGCATAAAACAGACGTTTGGAAAGCTGTAGGCTAAAGACATTTAACAGGGAAAACTACTTGAGAATATAAAGATACTGTAGGAAAAGCCATAATGCTAATGCTTCATGCAAGTTATATTTGTTTAGCTAAGCTGGAACACTGTCAGCTGAAAACACTAGCTGCTTTCTGAGGGAAAATAGAGCAGTCATTTCACACAATTGAATTGATTCAATATGGTTGTTAAAATACATTAAAGCTGCTTTGCCAATTGACTAATGTCTGGGAGACCCATTGTCAATTACACTAGTTTGTAAGCCATCAAGTACATGAATACAAAACAAACAAAGATAATGCCCTTCGTTATATTATTCTATGCACTTGACTTCCCGTGTACAATATCTAAAAAAACATATGAACTGCACTGCTGTAGACCATATGTTTTATTAGTCATAAGTGTCCTGACTGGTGCATTCAGCTAACCGAATTTTAGCTGTAGTAGAGGAAGTAAGGAGGAAAAAAAAGAAACCCAACGCATTCTTTTGCATGACCTGCATGGCATGCGAATTAGGCTTCCCCAGCATGAGAAAGCTTCCTTTTGCTGGATTACCCAAGGCTGTGGGTACATTCGTTTTCCTTTGTACGCGAGTTTTACAGAAACAAAATTATGCTTTGCAACCTTAACTTCCTATCATTGATATAGCGATAAGCCAAGCAGTTACGGCACTGTGCGTTTACCTCCTTTTTGTCTCTAAAGACGTCTATCTCCTTCTTGAGCAGTTCGACTCTTTGGAAAGCTTCGAGGCTGGTCACGGCGTACACGAGAACAAAGCCATCAGCGACAGAGAAATAGTGTTTTGGCAATTCTACACCCTCCTGCAGACCCCTGGTGTCATAGAGCCGTAACTGTTCTTTCACACCTCGGTCTGTCTCCACCGATGCCAAATACACATCTTCCATTGTGGCACCCTCCTCTAAGCCTGTTTTAAAACAAGTAGGAAAGTTCAACTGGTGTAAGTACAACACCACTATAAGAATTATTTGCAGTACAGCAGAACTTTACCCCACAACAGCTTTCAGTGCATGTTTTCCAGAGTGACTTGACCTGGACTCGACCTTGCCCGAGATGCCCATGAAGGGCTGTATTCACAGATCACTGCACCAGCTACTTACAATAGCGATGCTGCATAAATACAACCATCTAATATTTAAGCACATGATTATGCCTGTAAAATTAATCTATACAACATGCACGTTCAGGATAGGGTAAGATGGTTCTTCCCCCACGTTTCCCAAACTCCAACCACCCAGTGTACCAGTTCTGTGCCAAACATGCTTCAAACGGGCCTGCCCAAACGTACCCCTTTGGAAGAACAGCCAAGGAACACCAGATAGCCAAGTATTAATATCTTAAGCCTACTTCTTTGCTTCATACCGAGCTGGATCATATGGCAGAAGCAAGAGCCAAAGGAATAATTCTGGAAATGAATGCATATTGGTGGTACAACTAACCAACAAGTGAAATCAAGCCAGAAAGGGAAGGGGATGTTTGCATGCAAGCAAAGTTGCATGCTATGTTTGCTCAAATACACAGTGAGCTTTTTCCATCCCTTAGGGATTTAAAATGACTCAGATTTGCTAATAGGAGCAAGCTCATTTACTGCAAGGTAAGAGCACACACGAGGTAACAAGCTTTCGTATATATATCACCTGCTCCATGGTAACTATCTGCATACTGGTTCTCCTTCCTTCCTCTCCCCATGGTAAATGTGAGGTAATTCAAGGAGGCTTACTTCGAACTAACTAAACCGATTTTTTCCAAGCCAAACTTGAAAACTCATCGATCACCTTAGCTTTGTGTTCCCCGTGGATGCAGATACATAAAGTAACAGGCCCCAACAAACTACATATAGTGTAGCTGGGTCACTTTCAGAGTCGGGTTTAAGTATTCCTATAAACCCTCTGCAATCCACGTTTTTGCCTCCACTGCACTCTTATATATACGAATTGTTTGCTGTTGCAGGGCTACAATAACAAGTCTCGCATTATTCTCTTTGTCTGCCAAAATGGGACCATATTAGTGCATTGTTTAAGAAAACACGAGGGATTATCTGGCCTGTGAAAATAAGGATTTTGCTATATTCAATTACACTATTCAAAATACATCACATTGACAAACAAGCTAAAGCATTCCACCCACGCTGATGGTTTCCCATGATGTACGCAGCATTCCTGTGCAGGAAAGTGGCACAAGCTGTTCTTTTTGCCCCTCTCTATGTAGTCTTTATAGATCAAACTCTTATTAGGTTTGCAATGAATTAATTTATCTCGCCTCCAAATATAGCCATGCTAACATGTGGGAGCAAAACTAAGAGCAGAAGGACAAAACAAAGGTTAATAAAAAGAGGAAGCGTGAAGGCATTCCGTGTGGTTGGAGAACGTGTTACAAGGGCATTTTTAAAGACTGAAGTAGGTAACAGAGCCCTTTCTGGATACAGCGCTGTAGTTCCTCTTGCTCTGCTTCGTTGCATTGTACGGACAGATAAAGGAAATATCTAGCATCGGTAAATACAACTTTGGCAAGAAGGAATGAACCATAACTACCTAAGTTTTCTTTTCAGAAAGCAGTGAATAATCTTGTACAGGTTTTTACCATTTAAATGCTGCACTGTAATTCAACAGTCTTTAATATATCCACATTTTCCTGCAACAGTCTCTTCCTAATAGCATTGAAATTAGCAGTGAAAATTGTGTCTTTTAACATTCTACTCGAAAACGAAGAGGAAAAATGAAGACCTGGGACTTAAGTCAGCAGAATAAAAGAAAAAATTTTTACGTGAACTGAAGGGACACTTTGGTGGAGGGAAGTGGAATTTATGCATCAGTATCAGATTCCAGAGGTGAAATTTCACCTACGTACACTGGGGGAGGGAGTGTATGCAAGTAGATTCCTAAGCAAACGCAGATAATTTTTAGACATACCTGTGTCACCTTATTCGAGGCCCTGCTTCTAAAGCCCAGACCGCGTGCTAGCTGCATCTGGCTGACAACAATATTTACCATTCTTGTTAGTACCGTCCCATTCAAACACTTTCCCGGTCTCCATTCAACACATGTGCCAGGCAAGTTGTTGTACGAGCGGCAGAACTAGTCAGGAAAGCCCAGTGCCCTAGGAGGGTGCCTGGCACCATCCCAGCCTCCGGCATCCCCAGGCATCCTCCCACCTTCGCCACCTGGGTGGGCAAGGGCAGCTTGTGCCGGTGAGTTACGGCCCTGCAGGCTGCTGCCCGCTCAAGGAGGTTTTCCTTGGAGGACAGCATTATCGTAGGCCTTTTCTCTCTTTCCTGCTACCAGTTTTTCTAGATTTACAGAAACATGTTTTTGAGATATCTACTGCTGTGACACAGATGAACGGGCAGATGGAACCAGCTTTCAGGTGCAGAAGCTACGGGGGGAAAGGGGAACTAACAAGAGAGTGAACAATCATGTGGTTTCTTTGGAAATTAAGGATGAAAAAAAGTTAGGGAAGGAAAGGAGGAATAGACAGGAGATTGTTGCCATTCTCTAGCACCTACTTAGCTTGTGCAAGTTTGGGGAGAGGCAGAAAGGTCTTCATCTATGTTACCCACTGCTGCCACAGAGGAACTGCAAGGGGAAGCCTCAGTCATAAATTGGGTGGTGTGTCAACCCCTGGTGGTTTCCCAATGAGGAAAAGAAAAGGCTCAATATACTAATGAATACTGCAGACTCAGGCTAGCCAAAGCAGAGATATTGCAAATACCAAAATAAAGCAAAATTTCAAGATGCATGGAATTTCAGAAGTTGCTATGTGACTCTCAAACAGAAATGCAATGCAAATTTTGTGTCTTCTTGAGTACTTTTGGAGATCTCCTATGTAATCTCTCTTTTTTTTTAGCAAAGAGTTCCTAAAGCCTGCTATTCCTTGTTTGTAAACCACAGGATAACAGGGTCTGTTTTACTTAGATCCCAAACGACAGAGTATCAGAGGATCCTTGACTTGGAGAAGAGCTGGACAGGCCCCAACAGGAGCTGGTCTATTTAGCTTTAGCTGCCAGTTAAGTACTGGTCCCACCAACCAGTAGCCACAGTTGTGACCCTTGGTTGCATACATTCAGCTCCATTTTCATCTGTTTCTAAAATGCAAAACTGACTATAGATCCATCAGGAGGTAGTTTTGATTTAAGAAACAAAGATGTAAGAATGCATAATTTGGTTAATTAGCCTCCACGTCTTTGGAACTGTGAAAGCCAAAACCCCAAATCCCTCCAGCTGAGACCAAGCGAGGCAAATTCTCTCGTTATGGGTTCTACCACAGCAATATATGGTGTTTTCATTCCCAGCTACTAAGATGATTTGAAGTAGCTGCTTACGAATAACCTGATCATACCAGCTATTTACACAGCCAGGACGCAGAGACAAGGAAAATCGTGTTTTCTACAGGAAGAGTTCTCATCTCCTTCTGTTGAGCTGATAAGCTTTACCATAGGTTGAGGGGCCAGAGATATTTTAAAGGCAGAAGGAAGACTCCTTTCTGCACTATCGCTGAACGGGAACACTGTTCAAGAAAAACCACCTACTCCCTTTACAGACGTGTTCCACGCCAAAGCTAAGCCAGAGCCCTCTTGTTAGCTCTCTCAAGAGAGCTCAGGCCAAGCAGTGCCAGGTACCACAGGTATTTAGTGGGATAATCTTCTACTGCCAGTCAAGGACCCATTTCACGACTGAGGAGAAAAGACTGGCCCCTCTTTTTTCAGGAGTGCAACAGAAGGTGGAGAATTCCCCCTCCCTGGAAGTGTTCAAGGCCAGGCTGGATGGGGGTTTGGGCAGCCTGGTCTAGTGGAAGGTGTCCCTGCCCATGACAGGGGGGTTGGAACTAGATGGTCTTTGAGGTCCCTTCCAACCCAAACCATTCTGTGATTCTATGATTTGGACAAACACAACATTGAAGCCACAAAAAGAGAGATCATCCCAGGTACCAGGCAACTATGCACCTACATGCAAGCCTTAACAACTATTTGGCCCAACCTATGGCAATGCAGTCCCTACGCGACTCAAACCTAAATCTGCACCCATTTCAAATATCTCCTTCCAGGTTTTGTCTGATTCCTTGTATCAGTTTAGCCAGAGAGGCTGCCATGCAATACGTATGTTACTTTAGACGGCTCTGACAGCTTCTCTCACCTTTTTGCCCTCTCCTTCCTCATCCTAGGGCCCAAGGCAAACAGCCTCTCTTGCAGTTTTAAAGCCTAGCACAAAGCCCAATACCACACATTGTTGCTCACATGCTCCAGGGACGTCAATATTCCTTTCTGGGGGTATTCTTCCCTCCCAAGTACTTTTTCCTCTTTGACCTCAAGCATTCTTAGTGCCTTTGCAAGAGTGCTAGCTGCTGAGCGTGTAAGCGACAGCAGCACTGGGGGACTTCATCCGTGACAAGCCAGGGAGAGCTGAAAGTGCACATTTTTCTAGGAAAAGAAACGCAGTGCAAATGGGTTTACAGCACCATCACCAAGCACACAGCCAGGAGCGTGGGCTCAAAGCCAAGGGCTTTATATAGCAGTGTGAAACCTCCAAGGACACTGATCACTTCCCTGATAGCAGCTGCGCCACCACTCCTTTTTACAGGAAAGTCAACAGGAGGCACATGAACACTGACATAGACTCATGGCTGATTTACAGCCAGGAGGAGACCCCCCATGTCAGTGGCTGGGACACCTTGGAGGATGGCACCAGACCTTGTGCTCTGAGCCTACAACCAAGTTCAAGCACACCTCTTTGTCACTGGGAGGAGGATGTGGATGCTGTCAGGAATGGACAGACTCCATGCGTTGGCTTGGCAGTCCTCCCCACGGCTCCCTGGCCCTTGGACCAGCCGCAGAGCCACTCCTGACATCAGTCAGGAAGCACAGGTTTTGAAACAGCTTGTGTCCGTGTTCCCGTACCCGGTGAGCTGCCTTGCTAGTTGGCTCTGAGCAGACGGGCTTTCAGCAAACACACTAGTCCTTTTTGCGTCCTGCCAAAAAGGCCAGCAGCCAAGATGTACATGTCAGCTTTCTGGAGCTCACAAGCTTTAGGAAACAAGGATTGAGATTCAGTAATCATGTTTTAAGCGTGGAGGGGCCACGGTGCTGGTGCAACGGCAGCTCTGGCAATGGGTCTGTGCAGTTTAAAGCAGCTCAGCTAAGGAGCAATCAAAAACTCAGTGTTCCTCAAACTCTGTCCTTGCCCAGTGAGACCCTCACAGTGGTGTCCTGCCTATGCAGTTCGAGGGTTAAATCAATACAAATTGGAGCAGTAGCTAAAGATCTTCTGGGAACCGCTTCCACCAGCCCACACTTCAGGCACCCTCTGCCAGAACCGCCCATGGGCTAAGGAAGAGGCAGGGAGGATGGTGACCACTCAGCGGGACTGCCAGAAACGCCAACACATCGGTCCATCCCCCAAAACGTGCCTGATGGCACACGTGGGCGATATCAAAAGCGCTGGGCTGTGGCCGCTCGTCCCTTGGGGCTGCAGTGGCTCTGTACAAGTCCTCGCCTTACTCTGATCTTGACTCTGCTACTTACCCTCTTTCTCCGAATGTGTTGGGAATAAGATTTGACCACAATCATAAAAAAATGGGAGCCTACCTTCTTCCTTCTCCCCTTGCACCCCCCCCTCTGCTATCAGCTGCTCCCTCCCTTGCTGTTAACTCTGAAAAAGAAGAGCAGAAAGGGAAGTTTTCCTGTGGGAAAGGAAAACTGATCTTTTTCTTGAGGGGGATGGGTGGAAGTCTGTGTTGTGCTACAGCTGAGCTGGAGCATTCAGGAGCGACAGAGGGACACCCGCAGCTAAACCCCGAGCACGAGGCCTCCCTCCAGTTATGTCAGCCAGTATACATGACGTTATATAATCGTGTATATGGCTGGTTCCATAAATAGCTCCTCTGATCAGCAACACCTGAATATCCTTCCTGCCTGGGTCGCTAATAGGAGCTCGGAGCAGGAAGTAATGCAAGGCAATACGATTTAAGCAACGTGGCCTTGCTCACGCTGCTCGGGTGTCTCTGACAACCGCCCAGCCCAGCGCAAAGGAGAGGCAGGTCGGGAGTAAAGGGAAAAACCTTCAGCCTGCAGGTTTTGCAATCTTCACGCTGAAAGCTACGCGGGGCTACGTGCATAGGGCTCGGTAAGGTGCTGGAAACAGATGTTGCTGCAACATTAGAGGAAATCCTCCTTTTAAACAAGGGTATCAGCACGCAGTTCTGTATCACGCTTTGCCAGCAAATTCCTCCCTTCCACACATTTTAAAGGCACAGTGTCTGCAAAGCATCGTTCCAGAAATCCTAGTGCTTATCCAATAACTTACCCCAACATTTAATTTACCTGCCCAAGGAAAAGATACAAACAGACTAGACATCCTCCGTCCAAGCCCTGAGACTCACCCCTGGTGCCACCCCTTGTTTCTGGGTGAGGCAGGAATAATTCATCAGCCTGCTGATCGTTGCCCTTGCTCTCAAAGCCAAGTCATGTGGAAACAGAGGGAAACAAGCTGGCTTTGCCTTCGTTCCCTTTATTTTCTGCACAGCAAGTCTCAGATATCCCATGCTCCTGTCTCGAGTCCATTTTCCACGGGAGGATTTCTTTGAGAGCCGAGAAGCTCGGCCCTGGAAGTTCAGGACAGAATGTGGGACCTAAAGCAGAGCTGTTTTTCTTTCCAGCACTTTGATTAAATATTAGACAAACCCAAGCAAAATAAAGCTTTAAGAAGATGGAACAAAAGTCTAAACAGTCTCTCCACTCATCACATGATATCAATTTATTTTTTTAGGCATCTGCAGCATCTTTCAGGGAATGAGATAGTTCTTATGTAAATAGGCAGCAAGAACATCGCCTACTTTCTGTGTTTGTTTCTTTTTAAACATTAATGTATTTTATAACCGGGAACGTCATGGAAAGCGTTCTTCTCCAAGCCTGTTTTAAAAATCTGTAAGCAAGGAACTATGAATTTCAAGAACTGCCCGGAGATGCAACACCACATTAATTTCCTCCTTCACCTCAGTGCAGTTCACGGTCCTCAGTTACTGCTTTTTGGTGACCCACACAGAACAAGAATCTAGAAAAGGAAACAGTCCCCCCCCCAAAAAAGTAAAAAACATCTCACCAACAGTATGCTTTCCATAGAGAAGCTGCTCCAAAATCGCAGTCTTTCCCACCGAGGCCATTCCACAAACCACCACCTTGTAGCCCTTCCCCATCTTTCCCGAGAGGGCAGTCAGCAGGCGAGCCTGTGCAGACACAGGAGCGTTAGCCCGGCGCAGCGGCAGGGCTCAGCACCAGACAGAAGCGAAGCCCCCGAAAGGCGAGAGGCAAAACGCGAAGCAGCGGGTGACTGGAAGGCACAGCTCCCTCCCCGGCGCTCACCAGCGACTGATATTTTTAGGACTAGAGTTTCCTCCCACACCATTCTTTAAGGTTTTAGGCTGCTGCCATCGGTGCCGATGCTTGCCTTGCAGCCTCGACGCTCTCGGGGAGACTGTTTGAGAGGGGTGAAGCGTGCAAGCCCTCTGGGGCAGGGGCTGTGCTCGTTGGCGTGTGTGTACACAGCAAGACACGTGTTATCAGGCTTCGTGGTTTTGCTGCGGGCCTGAATGGTATCTGGTGGTATCAAGACGGCTTCTGGAAACGCGACAAAATGGCAGTTTCTTCCCTATTATTTCACACGCAGAAATAGCTTTTACAGACTAGGAACTAGAAAATAGGAGCATTAAAGGCAGAAGCACAGGAAAGCAAACGCAAAAGCAGATTTTTTTGGTTTCAGTAGGAGGCCTCCAGAAGCCAGCAGCAGTTCTGCCTGCAAGCGAGCTACGGCAGGGTGGCAGGCCCTACCGCTCCGTTCGCTGTTTGGAGCAGTTTGCCACAGAGAAGGCCGCAGAGTACCTTTTTAGGACCGGGGGGGACCGGCGTCGTCCTGTTTCAATTCCAGTTTAACCCAATAACACTTCACAAGGCAGGTCGCTCTGCAAAACATACATGGAAACACGGAAAGGTCACCCCGCAGCCACAGGGAGGCAAGGGGGGAGCTTTCAGGCAGCGAAAGCCTAATTCCCATTTCGATTCCCCGGCAGGGCCCGACGTCTCCACAGCAGCACGCTGAGGACACTGCTGGAGCCAGAGAGGGGGACAGAAACCTCCTCAGCACCAGGCCCCTTCCTTGCTCCCGCAAATTCACCTCTGCGGGCGCTGGGCGGGGAGGAGGCAC